CCTCAATATTAATCTTAAGCATGCCTTTAATCTTATATGTATGTACGTATTTACAAATTTATGTATGTATAATAGGGTGCATCACCAAAAAAATTGCGGTTGTTCCACCGGAATTATAAAATTAATTATATTTTAAAACCCAAAATCATAAATAATAAAGAACTGCTTTCAAGACGAATTTATGTAAGGTGGTGTTGTTAGAATAGCTGGTTCAAAAGGCCTCGGTACACATGTGTCAAAATTTGTTAAGAGTGAGTGAGAAAGGGAGATTGCTTGATGTGTGCCAAAAGCAAAAACAAAATACATTTAAGCTTTGGTTATTGTACTACCGCGACCACCTTATATGAATTCCTGCTTTATATGTACATCGAAAATTTGTAAGAAAATATCACTTCGTGAAGCTCTTCAAAAATCTCATTATTTGGATTCCATATATACAATTTTAAAAAATTTTTAACCAGAACTTTTAAGCATAAACTCTCTATCATCTGAGGTTAATTTCTAGAAAAAATATGTATATTTTTAAAAAGCCATAAACACCAAACAAAACGGAAAAATATATATTTGAAAAAACTAATTTAAATTATAAAAAACTCGATTTTTGAAGATCGTTTCTAATACGTTCAGCTGACGTAAATCTTAATAACCTTCTGAAATATTTTGACGGAAGTCTTAGAATATAATAATTTTATAATTCCGGTAAAGAAACAGTACCGATTTTTTTTGTATGTGGAGTGATGCGCCTTAATGTACATAAATACATACATTTGTATGTATATCCATATGCCAGATGTGTATTTTTTCTATTACAAATGTATAGTATACATATCTATGTACATACATATGTACAACATATTTAAATTTAATCTATTTTGGTTTTAGTAACAAGCTATGGATCCTGCTTTACTCCCAACCGCGTGGAAGCTAATTGTATTAGCTTAGAAGATTGTCGCTTTCTTTTCGAATTGGTACAAGATCCCAATCTTTCACAAAACGATCGCGCATACTTGCGTAGCAGTCAATGCGGATATCGTAATCGTAAAGTATTGGTAAGTTATGCCGCTAATCGCTAATAAAACTTTAATACTCCTACATCCTCATTACCAAGTAAGTAAATCTATACTCATGCAGATATGCTGCCCCCCTCAATATCTCACACAAAGTGCCACTACGCCTGCGCCACCCTTGCCGCCAGCCACACCCGCACCCGCACGCGCACCTGCCCCAGTCCACGCACCGCCAGCTGCCGTGCTGTTTCCGCAATCTAGCGGTGCAGCACCAGCAAGACGCCCAGCGAATAGTCTAAGCAGTGGTTTCATCAGTGGCGGCAGCAGCATTGCTACTTCGCTACCTCAATTTCCTCAATGTGGCAATGTGCTTGACAACCGTATTTATGGTGGCACCGAGACAGCGATTGATGAATTTCCTTGGACCGCCTTGATTGAGTACACGAAACGTAAGTGAATGCTAAATATGCAGTTACATTTGCCAACATAAATTTCTAGTGACGCATTTATTTTTCTTGGTTTTTCGAACAGCTGACGGTGTAAAGGGGCACTATTGCGGTGGCGCATTGATTAGCGACCGCTATGTGGTAACAGCGGCTCATTGTGTTAAACCTAGTGATCTCCCTGCTGGTTGGTCCTTGACTGGCGTTCGTTTGGGCGAATGGGACACTCGCACTGATCCCGATTGCAACAAAGAGGGTTGCGCGCCAACTCATAAAGATATTACCATTGCACAGAGTATGCCACATCCGGATTATGCGAATCACAATGATCCCAATGACATTGCATTATTACGTCTTAACGAGTCCGTACAATTCACAGATTTTGTTAAACCAATTTGCTTACCCACAACACAAAATTTACGCATGGACACTTTTGTCAATACTGCAATGGATGTAGCCGGTTGGGGTTCAACGGAAAAGAGTCAAAGTAGTCCCGTTAAGTTGAAGGCCACATTAAAGGTTAAGGATTTAGATGTATGTCGTCAGAAGTATGCGCAATTGAATGGCATACGATTGGATCCGACGCAATTGTGTGCGGGTGGTGAGTCGGGAATCGATACATGCCGTGGTGATTCGGGTGGCCCTCTGATGTTTCAGGACGATGTAAATGGTAAAGCGGCTTACTATCTAATTGGTGTTGTATCATATGGTCCAACACCGTGCGGTTTAAGTGGTTGGCCAGCGATATACACTAGAGTTGGCGCTTTTGTAGACTGGATTGAAAGAACAATGCACGCATAGAGATACGCGAGTATCTAAGTACATATTTTGAAATAAAGTTATTACCCAAAGCTATGCAAATGTATGTTAGAGTTTTCCAAAATATTAAAAAAAAAAACTTTCAAGGGATAATTAAAAAGTGTTTATTCCATTTTAAAACCTAATTAGGTCATACAAATAATCTTTGACTTTGGACGGTGAGTAGAATCTATGTACATCCATGCAAAAATAATTTGGGTTCAATAGATATGAGAAACTAGATTAAAAGTCTTCATTTTATTATTTATTCGTATATAAGAAATGGATTTGAGCCTAGTCGTGTCTTCTAAAGAGATTCCTTACTTACGTATGTACTAAAAAATCCATTTGTCTTTGGATACATACATACATTAAGTTTGTTCTCATCCCGTGCTTTTTTTTTGAATCTTCAATCCTATTATATTTAATAACCGATCAAAGGCTTAGAGCGTCGCAGAGTTATTAATTTAAAGACAGTTGTAAACTAAGGCATTCATTATTTTGTTCATTGAATACCCTGTATTCTTGGATATTTCAAGCATTTTGACTTTGTGTTTATAGTTTTAATTAATTGCTCCAGAAATTATGTACGTACATATGTACATTAGGGTGCATCGTTATCCATACAAAAAAATCGGTACTGTTTTCAAAATAATAATAATAATAGATTGGCGCTTACACATACATATGTTAGTGTTTGGCCGAGCTTCTCCTCCGATTTGTAGCGTGCGCCTTGAAGGCATCACACAAATGGGAGGGACCTACAAATTTTTCGCCGACTCCGAACGGTGATTGTATTTTTATGAGAAGCTGTTTTTCATGGCAGAAATACTCTCGGAGGTTTGCCATTGCCTGCCGAGGGGCGACCGCTGTTAAGAAAAAACCTTTTTTTCTCTATTTTTTTGCGATGTTGCTTTGAACAGGGATTGAACCCAGGCATTTTTATTTTTCCAAAAAAATCACCTCAGATGATGGAAGAGTTTACGCTTAAAAAGTCTGCATAAAAATGTTTAAAAAAATTTATCAACGAAATCAAAATGATTTTTTGAAGTGTTTTTAATTCGGTCTAGGTTTTCCTGAACATTAATATTTTTCGGAAAATTTTTACGAAAGTCTTAAAATATAATAAGTTTTACAATTTCAGAGGAAAAACCGCAACTTTTGTTGGAGGCATCCTAATGTACATGCATACACATATTTATACAATGTAATTGAGGGACAGGTTTTCCTCTTTCCAGCATAGTTGTGTCATTCACTTAGATATTTAGGGGATTCACAAGATGTGGTAAGCGTCGTAATATCTTAAAGTCGTAAATTTGATTTTTAGTCGATTTTTAACTACGCAAAAATCTGTTTAAGCTGATAAAAAGAAACAATAATTAACTCCAATTACACCAGTTAATCCAGTAAAAGCATTTCAGCCGTTATTTCTTATAAAAAATTCCACTTTTAAGCACTACGCCGCTTACGACATCTTGTGAATTCCCTAGCTGTAAATTTAAATGTTAAAAATTGCGTCATTTACCTTCAAAAAGTATTAAGGGTAATCACAATCCGGTGCATATGGTTTTGCATATTTCGATGCATATTCAGATTCACAACAACAAAACGCAAACGCTTGCTATGGTAACTAGCAAGCATAATATTATAGTAGCTGATTAGAAGAAAAATGTGTAAGTACTTTTGGCTATCTTAATCGAGTGGTTAGAGGTGCTTACTACACCGTGCGACAAAAACCTAAAAATTTCAAAAGGCACGTAACAGCCAATATATTCACGAAGATATGAGCAAAATAAAGTAAAGCTGCCTTTTTGGCTTCTCTCTCTGATTTTTTTAAAAGCACTTTGAAATTTCAAAGTGCAATGTAGAATAACAACATATGTGTTACCGGTCAAACCCGATCTTAGGACAAACTAGTTTTTCCTAGGCTACATTAGTTCTACCTGGATCCAAGTTGGACGCGACAATATTGTGGACTGCGTACCTGGAGTTGGACTAATGAGGGTTCTTCTTTCGGAAGTGCGGCCGAAGGCCGTCTACGCGAAAAGGTGTTCTGCGCAAAAATAAATATATATAAATATAAAAATAAGAAAAACTAGTTTGTCCTAAGGTCGGGTTTGGCCGTTAACATATGCACCAAATGAAAGAGAAAATTCTGTAGAACNAGGTGTTCTGCGCAAAAATAAATATATATAAATATAAAAATAAGAAAAACTAGTTTGTCCAAAGGTCGGGTTTGGCCGTTAACATATGCACCAAATGAAAGAGAAAATTCTGTAGAACAAAAAAAAACGGCTTTTTGGTTCACACGGCGAATAGGTATTGGACAACGTATCTTTAATAATGTACAGTTTTATGAGCAAATAGAGTTAGAAGGATGAAATACTAGGATGTGGTCATGTGGATATTAGCACTTAACACATAACTTTTTTACAAAGTAAGTATTGGAAATTTTGAAGAATATTCAAGGAAAAAATTTTAAAAGGACATTTTCCTATTACCTATTTGCTTTTACATAACAAGAATTATCCATTTTATTTGCTACCCAAATTGTTATTCTACATTGCATTTCATTTTTTAAATAACTTTTTGAATTAATCATATCGCTAGCTTAAAGTGAAAAGTTGCGAAGTACACTTTTTATTGACAAATCATATTTTGATATAGGAAGCAAGAGATACTAAAAATGAGTCTTGTTTTAATTTTTTCTCGTTTATATTCAATGGTAGGCAAATTTGCTAAGTCCAAACAAGGCACCGAAAATCCGACAANTCATATTTTGATATAGGAAGCAAGAGATACTAAAAATGAGTCTTGTTTTATTTTTTTCTCGTTTATATTCAATGGTAGGCAAATTTGCTAAGTCCAAAAGAGGCACCGAAAATCCGACAAAACCAAAATAACACGACATCTTTTAATAAAAATCTATTGCTTCTTATTCGTATGGAGTTTTGCTTTGCTTTAAACAAGCAAAATGTTGAATTCCAGCAATCCAGAGTTACCTTAGATATGCATTTCAGCGCAAATTTTTGACACAACTTTTGGGACTGGTGTCATACGTTCATTTGCCGAGAATTCGCCTGGGCTGGTTCCTCTCACGAGTGTTACTCCGTTTCCCTTGGTCTTAAAAGAGAGTAGAAATGTGATAAAATTTGTCTCCTTCCTATCTGTAAATAAATTTTAAGAAGAGATCCAATCACAACACCTACCATTTCCTTAAATACGGGTCCAAGATGAGTCAAGGTACGGAATGTGCTGTATTTTGTGCGTTGAAGAGGTTTGAACAACCACATATGCTCCTGGATACTACTACAGCATTTTCTAAACCGTGCAAGGCAGTAAAGGAGGCTATAATTACAAACTCGCTTTGTATCAGACAATTCATGAATAGGATATATGAATTCTATGACAGGAACTATGCAGGCCGTATAACCCTCCTTCAACTACTTAAGGACATAATTAGACATTACAGTGAACACGAAATCCAACTTGCGGGAGCACTTCCCAGAGTAAATTGCAAGGTACTAGTTGGGATAGGTACTTACGGGACACCAGCTCATGCATTTAAGTTAGTTCTGCCACAGAGTAAAGAATGCATGGCATGTGATGAAATTACTGTCCAGCTTTTGGAAGATCGTGTCTCAGTTGCTGTCGCTCTGCTTTCGTTTCATAAACGAATGAAATAGCAGCCTAAAGCAATAGCGAATTGTCAAAACTTGCTAAAAAATTCGTAATAACTAAGATTTAAGCCTAGGCATCCTCTTTCTTGTTAACACCAGGGGCCAATTAATGGTCTATATGAGATTACTGTTCAAACAAGCTAGCCTATCCTCATCTATAACTCAGTTTTATGGTCTGATTATGGCAACTTAACGTAATTCACGGCTCTCTCATAAAAATTCTCTTAAATGGGTGTTCCTTATAATTGAAAAGCCGAAACTTAACGTAACTTAATGCCACGTCGAAATCTGTTTAATTTTGATACTCCAAGTTCTACGTTCAGTTAAATTAAGTTAAGTTGCCATAATCAGGCTTTTGGGTGCAGTAATGATACTACGTACTTTGACACATTCGTTTCGAGTATTATCCTGTCCTCTTTGACACCTTTAGTACGGCATGCGTACTAGTTGTTGTTGCTCGAAATATTGTTTTACGGCATAAGTTGTAATGGCTTCCTCTTTTACGTTTTGGACACAGAATTGGAAAAATGTAAAATCGGTAAAGTTTGCAAGGAGGCAAATTAACGAAATATGTATGTATGTATATTCGTTGACCGGTATAATAAAGATAAAGATGAGTATTTAAAAAAGCAGCGTCGGGCAAATTGATAGGGAAGCCTTGAGAAAAATGAACTTCGATGCCTTAAATCCACATTTATCAGCTCACAATTGTGTAGCGTCCTCGTGTTTTTTTTTTTTTTTTACTCGTGATAAGAGCAATCTACTCTACCAATATTTACTTAAATCTCCGCATTACATTGAAAGAGAAATAAGCTGAGCGCCTTCTCTTAAAACATAGTTAATTGATGTGCCAAGTAAATAACAACAAATACTAATTATTTTGAGAATTTCACTAAAATCAAGCTTAAGCAAAGAAATATTACGCAAACTGTGTTCGGAGAGGGGAATTTCAAAGCGTGACTCAAAAGATTTTTGCGTAGACATATGAAGAAGCTGCATCTTCTCCAGCTCTCAGTTGGCTTTGCGACGTGGAACGATACTTGTCGTAAGTCTTAGTTATAATAAGACAGCGGAAAGTTGAATTTGCTGCTAGCTCGCTGTTATTTCGCAGTTAACGGTCAAAAAAAAAAAAAAAAAAATCACAATCAAAAACGAAAAATACTCGTAAATACATACATACATATCTCTGTCATCAATACGGATTGCGTTGTTGAAAAAAATAAAAAAAAATTAAATAAATAAATTATTAATTAATGCAAATGCTAAACGTGTTCTGATCATCAGCCGCTGAGGTAATTGTACTGATTCGTTGGAAGTGAATTTGCGAAATTTGACTACAGTGAAATTACTATTGAAACAAAATTAAAAAAAAAACAACAATAAAAATAAAAACTGCATTTACAAAGTATGTTTGTTTGTATGTACATATGATACTTTTTCGGTGTAAAATTTGAATAAATTTCTCTTTAAGTAAATGTGTAAAAAATAAAACAAGAAACAGTGAGCAGCAAAGGGAAAACTAGAATCAAAGAAAATAAAAAATACAAAAACAGTTTATGAACAATACCCTTAAAATAGCAACAAGAACCTCACAATACACANAAGAAACAGTGAGCAGCAAAGGGAAAACTAGAATCAAAGAAAATAAAAAAATACAAAAACAGTTTATGAACAATACCCTTAAAATAGCAACAAGAACCTCACAATACACAACAACAACAACAACAACAACAACAACGACAAAGGCTGGCTTCGTGTTAACAGTAAGCAGCTTCAGTTCAATATGATAAAACCGGTGTTAATTAACGTCTTTTGCATTGGTGCTTTTCTGTGCGGTTTATCAGCACGTAAGTAATTTACGTACTTTACCAGTATGTCGGCTTTTACATATGTACGTAGTAGGCACATATCCACATGCCAAACCAGTACGCAAAATAATTTGCCAATTTGTTAACATTCTTAATGGTTGCATACATTCATATAAATAGCTTACTTTACACAATTTATTAAGGTGTAATAAGTGCATGATCGGTTTAATGGGAAAATTTCAGCATATTTCTGATATTGAAAATTTGATGCAGTTCAACAAAGCTCCGTTAAACGAGCCGAACTGCATCAAAATTGTCATATCGAAAAAATTCTGACTTATTCCTTTTGCTAATTAATCGATTCATTTATCAAATAAATCNATAATTTGCCAATTTGTTAACATTCTTAATGGTTGCATACATTCATATAAATAGCTTACTTTACACAATTTATTAAGGTGTAATAAGTGCATGATCGGTTTAATGGGAAAATTTCAGCATATTTCTGATATTGAAAATTTGATGCAGTTCAACAAAGCTCCTCTAAACGAGCCGAACTGCATCAAAATTGTCATATCGAAAAAATTCTGACTTATTCCTTTTGCTAATTAACCGATTCATTTATCAAATAAATCGGTTCATAAAAAGACATTTATTATTTTAAAACAAAAAAAAAAAAAAAACAGTGCCGTCTCCGGCTATACCTTTCATGAATACGCGTTAGAGATGGGCGCGGGATATCGGGATCTAATTTCAAAATGGTCGCGATGGGTGGTATCGGGAAGGTTTTTTTTTGCCGACACTCCCGATTAAATCCACGACTTCCGAAAAGAAAACAGAATACCTATAGATACTTAATTGCGTTGCCACAGGAGATTGTTACAAGATGTTTCAAGCATATTTACTTTAAAATTAAAAAATACACCCGAAGGTTTGCCAATGTCTGCCGATTGGCGACCGCTATTAGAAAAAAGCTTTTTTGATGTTGGCTTGAACAAGGGGTGTACCCAGTTCCTGCGAAATGGTAGCGCACACTGCTAACCACTACACCACACCGGCAACTGTGAATTTTTTCTTTATGACAAGGACAAATTTGGATGAAGGAGTTATATCGCAAAAAGCTATATCTGAACAATTAGTTGCATGGCATATATACCTTCTAAAACACCGATCTTGACAATTGACCTTGTATGATAAATTAGTAAATATCTATTTAAATTTCTCGGTTTTAGATGTCTAAATGAAGAAATTTCAAAGTAAAACTTCATACCTGAACTATCAGTTGTATGGAAACGATAAGTTATAGTGACTTAATCTTTGTAATTTTCACTTTTAATAATATTTGAAAATAGCGCGAAATTTCATGTTCCTAGCTGCATAAGGGAGGGGTTTATAACTCAAAATCTCATATCTGAATAATCTGTTATATGGGAGCTATAGATTGTAATAGTCCGATTTTGTCCTGCAAAAATCGCGACTGCTCCATGCACGCATGTAAAGAGTACTCCATAATGGTCAAGGAGTACTCCAAAATTAACAGCAATACATATAAAAAATGTGTAAGATTACGATGCCCCAGGGCAGGACCATATACTTCAGCTCTGCATTAATATAACATTGTATGTAACATAAAAATAAGTAATGCATCTACATAAGTAGCGTCTTAAAACAAATTATTTATGTTGAACACTCTAAACTCTTACCTTGATCGATCAAAAAATAAAGCTGCAGCAGCATCATTCACTTAAGGTTCGTTGCTCTATTGAATACGATTGTATCTACCAGGCGCGCATCTATCAAAATTGTGTAGGGGGGTTTTTGTACCTGAATTGAATTCAAACAGCTGCCTTGGACTAAAGTTATGCCATTGCTATTTATACGTTTATAATCGATTGCGGCTGGACCTTGTGTGGTAATTAAAACCATAAGAAACCCTTTTTATACCCGAGCGAACTTGTGCACAAGGGTATTATAACTTTGTTCACATAACGGTTGTTTGTAACAGNTTTGAAAATGGGCGTAGCCACGCCCACTTATGGTTACATGTGTATATCTTGGTAACCGCTGCATCAATTTATTCCAAACTTGGCACAGTTGTTGGCTCTGGTACAGCATACCAAATGGCCGAAATTTTTTAAAAGCGGACAATAACCACACCCACATCCCATATAACGGTAATTTCGAGAAATACGAAATCCTCGATAAATCAGTAAATATTAAAGCTAATTTATTCAAAAT